ATCTAAATACGATCTACTGATGATTGAATTGAATCCAACCATGTTTCAAAACACAAAACTGTCCCTGCTTAGCTATCCCTTGTGCTCACAATGCAATGTGCAGAATATGATCAAAAGAAACTTAAAATATGCATTTAGGAGAATGCATCTCTTTTAACGTTAGAAAAGAACGTTAAAGGAATCTATAAGACTATTTTGAACATGGAAGGAGAGGCGCATTTCATCTACCTGGACTAAGCAGGTGCGTCTCTGAATAGCCCTCGTAGTCTTTTAAGTAGTGTTCGTAACGTTTATACGGCTGTCTAACCGTCATACGGTTAAGCTTCTTGCACACCGAACGCGGCAACGTTTGCCGCTCAAAGGAAGTTAACGCGGTAACGCCAATTAATTTATCGCTTTTCCATAAGAACGAAAGTATGATTGGCTACCGCGTTCTCTGTACAACCATTAAATCATTAAATCATTTCACCGTATCTTGACGAGACGAACAATGTCAAAAATAGAGACAAAGAGAAATCCATATTGAAACGCGTAATTAATGCTCCAGATTGATGGATGATCGATGAAGCAAGACACAGACAATTTTCAGAATTAAATAAAATTCAGAATTAAAGAGATATAATAAATGTCTATATATTGTACATGTATTAATAGTTAATTAATAAATAATAAGTAAAATGCTTTTGCGAGCTAGTTGATTGAAGAACGTAGAAAAATATTATAGTAATATAATTAAATAGTCTCTCAGTTTGAATAATGATGAAATTTATTTCTCGATTCGATTCCGGATCTGCATCCTCCTCAGTGTTTATAAATTGACAGAATTACATTAATTTTTATTTTTATGGAATTAATATTTATATTTTAAACAAACTATACGTAAATATATGGATTGTGTTTATAATCTATTTTTATTGAACAACATATTTTTATAGTTTATTTACTTCATTATTGTTATAAACTAAAACTTAAAAAATAAAAACAAAAATCTAAATAATTATAATCATATAAATTAAATTTATAAGAATAAATCTAATTAAGTAAGAGAAATAATATTCTATCATCGGTCAAACCGAATTTTAGTGCTTAAATATAAAAATAAATTTATAAAATAAATTTATTTTATAAAATAAATTTACATATACATATTCCATATTCAATTCTACAAATCACGCATCGAAATCTTTTTCAGTCTTAAAACGCATCATAAATAAAACTAGAATGATATCATATATTAAATTGATAACTTAATAATATTGATGCTAATAAGCATCTTATCCGAGTTTGAATTCCGGTTGAGGTAATATTTTTCGTAATAAATTATTTACAGTTTTCCAGCTTTCTTATTAACATCAAATTATTAATATTCTTATAAGAATAGCTTATTAGAATCAATATTATTAAATAGCTTATCAATTTAACATGTGATATTACTATTCTAATTCTATTCATGTTGGCGTTTCAAGTAATAGGACTTCTCTTACTTAATTAGAAAAATGTTTTTGTATAAATTCTTTAATTTTTTGTATAAAAAAGACTATTTTATGATAAAGAAAAACATATTTAATCTACTGTGAAAAGATAAATGAAATGAAATCACTATTGTGAATCATTTATTATCGCACAAATCAAATATACCTTTTTTATTATAAAATAATCTTTCCTGATAATTGCGATGATCATAATCTTTATGATCTACAATCTAAACTTACATTAACATAATGATAACACACACACACACACAGGCCTACAAAAAAAATTTTTTTTACCCAGAAAGGTAGTATGTAATCAAACCAAAGATTTTTGGCATGCTAAAACCTAATCCGTAAACCAAAATTGTTCCATCACGTCAGATTTCCGAGATATTTTAATCCAAAAATGTGAAAAAGGCCTATTTCGTGCATTTTTAAAAAATATGTGATAAATCTAATGTGATAGAACAATTTTGTAGATTCGAATTCGGCATGAAAAAATCTACGAAAATTACTTATGACTATAAATGGATCAACACAGTAACATGAAAAAAATGAGATATATTGCAAGTATGTCCACCGACCTTAAGACGTCTCTAGACGATAGTATACGCCAACTTTGCACACATTTACTAAATATTGGCTATGTTCAATATAAATAATTATAATTATTTATATTGACCATCATTGATGTATATACAGGGTACTCCGATTATATAATAATAATATACATATATAATGGATATAAAATGGATATAATCTAGCACAATAAAAGAGAGATTCTCTCTCTCTCTCATAACATGCAAAGGATTAAGTAGTTCTAATGACAAAATGTAGATTAAACTTATCAATATCCAGCAAAAATATTAATTATGAATATATTCAGATATTTAAAAACTATTTATATTCACCTAAATAAATAAGAATTATATCGAATACATTAAATAATGAATAGGCTTTTTAGAAACTAAATAAAATTATAATATACAATCTTTTTATAATAAAGCTTGCAACATCAAAAAAACCCATCTTTAATATTTTATGTAGGAAAGGTTCCGTTTATTTATAGTTCCGATTATATATAAAACGATTCGTCAATCATGCTTAATCCTCAAAAAATCTTGATATATAATTTGTGCATTTAAGAAATAGAAGTAAATGGAACTTGAAGATTAAGATTACATAAAATTATATCAATCAGAATAAATATTTATTTTTATTATTCTGATTAATCAAATATCATGCAATGTTAACAATGTGGCGATTTTTACATAAAATTTGATTGGTCGATTTTATAATTCGCGGAGGGGGGGGGAGGGGGAAATACTTGTATTTCATTTTTATACTCAAATTAAATTAATGTACCACGATTTTAAAAGGCTTTGCACAATCAAAGGAACAGAGAATAAAAATTTACATCAATCAGAAACCATGCACTAAATATGTAATACGCAGTTTCTGACAGGTTAAAATTTTTATTCTCTATTCCTGTTTCTATTCTCTGTTCCTATTCTTTGATTGTGCGAAGCCCCTAACATGCATCTGTGCACACTAACATACCAGCCAAAATCGCTAATAGTGTAAATTGTGTCGGGTGAAATTTTCGAATTTAGTCTAGCATTGATAACGCGTTCTTCAAACGTAGTCTACAGCCTTTTCGATCTCAAGAATCAATTTATTAAAATCCAGTTGCATCAGGGCCGATTCTAGTTAATGCAGGATCGATGCAAAAAAAAGGCAGGGCTGATTCTTGACATTCAAAGAAAAATCAAAACATAAAAACATCTTCTTTAATAAGAATAATAATAATAGTTTAAACATAAAAGTGTCAAGACCGAATATGTGGTATATACAATTAATAAACGAAAAAAGGCTTTTATGTGATTGAGCTGGATCTTACAATTAGTGCTTAAATTTTCGTTGTGAATTTATATACATATCCAATTCTGCAAATGCGCGCCAAAATATTTTCGGTCTTAAAACGCATTTATTGACAAAATCAGAGTAGTAATATCACAATTAAATTGATTAGCAATTTAAATAATATTGATGCTAATGTAAAAAGTCAAATCAAGTGTATATACAAGTAAAATTCATAAGTCAATTTCCCATAGACTTGCTAAGTTGCTACTAACTTAATTTGTTATTGTTTGCAAGCAATTTTAATGGGTCAGCTAGCTTCACAAAAAACGTTTTTAAATTAATATAATAAATACATTACAATATTATGTTATCAATAGCGAAATGTGTAATAAGTAATCAAATATATATAAATAAAATATACTGTAATTTACTGATGATAATTAAAAAACTTACATTGTCAATTATTACTTAACATTTATTGCTTTATTAAAGAACTTTGCCGCGCGGGGCCAGATGTGGTGCATCCTTTGCACGTCCCTAAAGCCAACCCTGGGTTGCATCAAACTCTCACTTTCTCTCTTTAAAGTCGAGAGACAGAGATGAGGGAGAGATAGAGAGAGTTTTAAGTCTCACTTAAACTCAAAATAAGGGAATACCTACACACCGAGCGTCTCCATCTATTAATTTATCCTTGTTTAACATACGATGAATAACAAGGATAGTATTCGTAAGGACTCGGCACTCAGTTTGCCTTGCAGCTTGTTGATACAATCAAGCCTAAAACTCGAACAAGAAAAATCAATTGATCGAAATAAAAAAAAATGTATGTAAAATCGAATCAGGATCGTCCATCCATGCATGATGGAAGTAGACAGTAATCTACTTGCATCATGCTGCGATCCAAGTTACGCATGAAGCACATGATGCATAATTTGTCCTTGTTGTTCACCAAATAATAAAAAAGGATAAACGATATATCATGCGTTTCATGCGTAACTCGGAACGCACCCCTTGATTCTTCAACTCCGAATATCTTATCTATCCTTGTTTAACATTCGATGAACAACAAGGAGTCTGCTTTTGAACTAGTGTAAAGTGTTTTAAAATTAGTAAGATAGATACATATTTAATATTGCGAGAAAGAAAGTTCTAGTGCAGTCCAGTCTAGAAATAAAAAAAGATGATGAAATGTATGTATGCGTGCGTGGGATGTGTGTGTGTGTGCGCGCGCGTGCGTGCGTGCGTGGTGTGTGTGTGTGTGTGTGTGTGCGTGCGTGTGTGTTGTGGGGGGGGGGTGTATGGTGTGTGTGTGGTGTGTGTGTGTGTGGTGCGGTGTGTGTGTGTGTGCGGTGGTGTGTGTGTGTGGTGTGCGGTGTGTGTGTGTGTGTGTGTGTGTGTGTGTGTGTGTGTGTGTGTGTGTGTGTGTGCGTGTGTGTGTGATACTCGGGTTGAGTCAAATTTTTGAATGCAACCTTGGCTTCAGTGTTTTTAGTACCTTCCGCAGTGAGGTATGTGAATACTGTAGCAAAAAGTGTTTTGTACGCTATTACTTACGGAATTGGAAGTGATGCTTGTAGTGTTTCAATTTCACAAGCACACGAAAGACCTTCTGCTGTGGCGACCGAAACATTGGGTATATCCAGTAGCAATATTACAAATATATTATCTTTCAAGAATATTTTTAATCAGTGATTACAGATACATTTGTGTCGCAAAGTACATCGAATCACTAATTCAATAAAGAAAGTGGCGGGATTTTTCTTCGATTATGATTTTTGAAGATGTTAAGGAAAAGAAACTGCAAACCTGTTATGAAACGGAAAGTATCACACTATCCATCTATTGAGGTTCGCTTTCTGCTATTACTTTACATTAGCAAATGTGTGCTTAATCGATTCACATCTACATTAATCACTTTCTTCTGCACTATGCATTTCTATTGTCCAAACCAAAAAAACTCTATAAAAATTTATTTTCGATTAAGAGGAAAATTATATCATTTATTTTTATTGTTATTAATGTTATTTCTGCAATCGATATGAATGTGTATATGTCATAACTATGATAGTTATAAATATTGAATTATATTATTCTTTTTTTATGGAGATTTTTAAGAAGACCAGATGTTGCAGAATCAAATCTGACCCAGCGAAATTTTTCTTGAATACTCCTGAAATCAAAAACAGGACGAGGTCGACGAGTGTCTCGTGTATTATACATGGCACAAGGTAGAAAACGCAATATAAAATGTTGATCGAACAGAAGGCTACATAAAATAATAAAAAAAAAAATTATATGCAAGCAAAGAAAACAAGAGAAACATCGAAACAAGGACGACATATTCAGCAGAAGTTGAAGGTTAGTTCACACAGTATTTTTAGTCTACCTAGATTTAGAAGAGACTATCTGTCCTAGCTATACCTGTTATATGTGTCACCGATTGATTGTGAAAAATCTATTATACAAAGGAAGAGCGCTTTGACAAAAATAGAAATTTGGAAAAAATTCTTTTAAAAGATATGATGACTCACAAAGGATCATTAAAACATATTATATCACAAAGAGATACTGCTGGAAATATAATAGCAGAATTTTTTCAATAAATCCTTTTCAAATTTATATGAATACGTAACATTGCTGGTCAAAAGTTTCAGAAAAAAAATGTTTGAAGTTATCTTAAACTGTCAGTCTCGAAATCTGCATTTTCTTTGCTGCAATGAAGTCGATTTCTTTTCCATAACTTGAAAAATAATCAAAAGAGAAGTTATGAGTAAACCAATTTCTATAAATGTGCAAATATACTCTGTAAATTTTTCTAAATAATTTTAATTGTTACACTTCTGGAGATATTTACATGTAAGTTTTGCGTCGTATAACAATTAAAAAATTGGAATATGTTTAGACAGGTCCATCAATGCAAGGTTAAAAACCACAAATATTCTAGTGGAAAATTGACAACAATTGAAGCAATGTTTACAAAATTGCGAAAAGGAAACAAAATCTTAGGAAAGAAAATTATTCTTTCAGCATTACTTGTAACGCTGTTATTTTATTACAATAACAATTTGATAATGATGTTGCAAATTTTTTATGAAGATAATGGTAATCAAACTTGAAAAAGTCAAACGTTACTTATATAACGGGTTGGAAAAGTCACTCATTACTGAAACAAATAATTTTTTATTTGTAATTTGTTACTTTTAATAGAAAAATCGATGCGTTACTTATTACTTTTTTTTTAGTAAATAATATGTAATAGTGACAGGTTATTTTTCGAAGTGACTTTCTTAAATTTGGCGCAATCTCAGCATTAATTAATTATTTATAGTTATAAAAAATTGCAATATCATTATCAAATCATTATTATAAAAAGTAACGGTAAAAGTAACGGCGTAGCACTCTTTCATTCTCTGCATAAAACAATACGTAAGTACATAACTAAGACTTCGAAAAATGTAAGAAACATCAAATTCATTCAGCATTTGCTGATATATAATGCATGTTATGATGTTGAGGCCTAATTAAATTGTATAATGATATTCATGTCCGAAAATTTTTAACCAGGAGTGCATGTATAAGTCTACGGAGAAATATGGAATTTATCGAGACTCGATTCAACGAAGCCGTGCAACCCAGCCGATAATCTACGCCAAATTAATCTCACCCAGCTATTAGTGCAATCTCGCACGCCATACAACGCACGTCGCGCTACGCATTACGCGTAATTGGCAATTCGGACGAATTAGTGGAATAACACGGCACAGATTCACGAACGCGAAATTAATAACACGAGCAGCGTTTCGTTATCGACGCACGAGACGACCTTAACATTCATCCTCTATAGGATGAAACGCTCAGATAGGATTAAATCGCTAATTATGATTTGAGTAGATTTTAACCCCGCCGGCGTATCCAAGCCTGAGAATCAATTAATTTAATTACGACACGTAGTTGGATCACGGATGCTTCGCATCTCAATATCAGCTCAATACTTTAGACTGTCTTTGTTATCTTTGTTGCAATGTGTGACGTAATAATGTATGTCACATTGCTCGAAATAGAGCTGTTACTTTTGACCGACATTTGAATTTCGAAGCTTCGAAACTTCATACATTCATGCAAATGATGAATTTATTATGAAATAGTAAAAATATTTGAAAAATATTATATTAAAAATATTAATATAATATATGCTGAAAAATATGATATTCTTAAAAAATTTGAAAGTATATTATAACTTGAAACATTACATATTAATAATAATTAGTCAGAATCGATACACATATAAATAAAAAAGAATAATGCTTACTAAAGTAATTTAAAAAATTAATAAAGTGAAAATAAATTTATTCTCAAATGAATGAATAAGGAATAATAAATTTATGAACATTTTAGCTTTACTCAGTATCTTTAACATAATACAATACATTTTAAAAACAAAAAATTAAAATGGTATCATAATTGAGGGAATGGGGGGAATAAAGATCTAATTACAAAATTTTGATATTAATAAAAATTAAAATAACTTGTTACTTTTTTTATTATTATATATTGGATCATCTAAAAAGTATCCGCGGTTTTTTGTCACTAAATGCTGTTGATGGTCAACACCATCTAGTAACAAAAAACCGTGGATACTTTTTAGATGACTCAATACATAAATGGATACGATATTAAATAAATTTATGTAACGCCTTTAAGAAGTTACATGTTATAAATCTTTTCTATTACGATCAATATTACATGAAAAAGCTAATTACCGGAAAAAGGGTCTAACTAAAATTGTGCCTTTATTTCAATCATCTTCTCAATTAAACTTACGTATTTTTTAATTTGACAACTAAATATAATATTAAAACATTTTATGTCAGATTTTTATAAATGTGCACCTTATTACGGTACCATCACACAATTATATTAAATACTATTATATCATAGTAACTTTGATCATTCAAAGCTTCGAAGATTTTAATGCCGAAGCTTCGAATCTTCGAAGCTTCGAAATTCAAATGTCGGAGCTTTCGAAGCAAATCACCAGTCCTAGATCAGTGCGAACTCGTTGAAGCTCACATTTTAGCGACGTCTTCGCGTGTATGATTGTCGTCATCGTGTGAAAAGCGAACGAAAAGAAAGAGAGAAGAAGGTGGAACGACGCCGCGCGTATTCGCAAATTTTTCGCGTGACTCATGAAGGCAGCGACGTTGACTGCGACCTTCGAGCTCCTGCCTTGTTCTCTCGCCAGGAGGGCCGATACGCATGCGAAATTTCATTCACGTAAGTGTCACGTACAGCCTGAACGTTAGCAATAACATTCCGGGAACAGGTCGCGATCGAGACTTCGTTTCGCAAGGTTCATACGGCAACTTCGCCCGCGGTTTCTTGCCCGACCTGAAGACTAAAGCACACATAATGAGATATTAAAATAAAGAACAAGAATTGGATATTTTTAGTATCTCGCGGAATTCCACTGTTATTGTTAGTTTTCCATAATAATTTCCTTAATCTAAATTTGATTTCTTTTTAATAAAATATCCGAGATGTCCAATAATTCTTTAATTATAACTTGTAATAAATTAAATTACATGAAAATTAATGTAATCCAATAGGTCTCTGTTCTTTTTCAAATAGATCTGAATTAATTTTAAACTAGTGCAATAAGTTAGAGTAAATATAATTTGTTTCACTTTAACTTATTGCACTAGTATATATCAGTTCAGAACTTTCTTCGAAAAAGAATAAACTTAACTGGATTTTCAAGTTTATTTAAAAGTGCATGCAAACGGCTTTTACATTCTAATTTTTTAAGTTCAATTGATTATCTAAGAAAAAGAGAGAGGGGGGGGGGAGGAAGAAGAAGACTTCATCATTTATCTATTTTATCTTTTGGTTACACTTACTTTTTAATTGATTATTTTTTACGGTTAATATCTAATTTATTGGTAATATTATGTTTTATTTCTCATTTGTTATGTTTTATTTTTACATTTAATCGTGTCGCGGCCCTAATCGGGCAAGCTCTCGACAAAATCCATCTTCTATTCACATCGGCAAGACGAAGGCGGATTACACGCCGCGTAAGGCGAATCGTCGATACTTAATCATCGTTTACGGCCATTGAATCGGACAACGGAAGAGCAAAATTACGCTGCGTATCGAAGACGTAATCTTGCGCAAACAGCGCCAAACTTGGATCTCGCCGATTCTCTCGAGAAGCAATCGAATCAAATTAAAGACCGCGCCTGCGAATAGATCGAATAGGCCGGGATATTTTATTTCTCACGTTCCTGTTTCTCCGAAACTACTGCGTGCAATTCGTAACTTCCTGATTATATCTGAAATTCATTGCGTTCGCGCCTATCAGCAGTAAGTTTATCATTCTGTGATAATCCTTCTTTACAGATAATGCGGCGATTGTGTTCAATGACGAAAGATAAATAATGACACAATTTTTATTTGAAAATTTTCAAGAAACCGAATAGCATACCTGCAAGGTCACGAAACGTATCCTACGGCCTCAACGACGTATAAGATTACCGAGTGGATATAATCTTAAATCGTTAAAATTAATTATCGTGTGTAGAGAGGAAATCGGATACTGTGGAGCAGACGGGGCAATATCTCGAAGTATACAACACAGTTATGTATGTATTTTCACACCTCACAGATTACCACTAAAAATGGCTTTATATTTTTAGTGAATGTCAAACATTATCTGCAACGTAAAAGTAAATGATTCAGATTTTTTTTTATTTTCATTTAATATGTAAATTTATATTTGTAATGAAAATATGTATTTTAATATAAATATAGATATATTTACTATACAAATATGTATTAGATATTTTAAAATAAAATACAATATATCTATACATTGTAATAAAATAAAAATACATTTCGTTCCAGGGCTAAATGTGCAAGTCATGACCGATCAAAGAACGCGTTCTGTTCGCACACAAAATATGCCACTAATGAAGTTCAGAAGAATCTGTCCCAAGCTCAGCTTAAATCGTTTGACGAGAATTCGTGCGCGTCGATCATCGCAGATGCACTTTCATCGTGAACTCTATCCACGCCGAAATTATATTTGTGCACCACACCGATGCAGACTCTGTGGCATACTTTCTGTCACACGGCAACGCCTTTCCCACAAAGCGAAAAACCGTACGGATG